CGACAGGAGCCTTGGTCGAGGGTGTCTTTGGGACCTCACTAGACAACAAATCCAAGGGGGGTGGTAACCCAAGCCTGATACCTTTTTTTTTTTTTTAGCACCCTTTTTAAATATCATCTTGCCAAGTGGAAATTCTATACCTATTGCAATGAATTCCTGTTTCCTAGCCCCCATCCGCTCCTGTCCTGTTTTCTACCTCTGTGGATTTGGGAACCTCCTCACTGAACTCACATTGGCTTTTATCACTTAATACAATCTCCTCAAGGTTCCTCCATTTTATGACAAGTGTCATAATTTCCCTTTTTAAAGGCTGAACACTTTCCCATCATGTAGCTAGAGCACGCTGGTTCGATCGTGCCTGTAGGAGGCTGCAGGCTGCGTCTGCCTTGCGGCTATTGTGGACGGAGCTGCAGGGGGCAGAGCACACGTGTCTTTGGGTCCTGGCCCTTCTCCCTTTTTGTTCTTTTGGTCTGTATCCTGAAGTGGCGGCCACTGCTGGCTCCTACGGCAATTCTCTGCTGACCTTCAGAGGAACCTCCAGGATTTTCAGTGCCCAGCAGTGAGGTACCAGCATTCCACCTTCACATCCTTGGCAGCCTGCACATGCTTTCTGATTCCCATTGTCTTCTGCATTTGGATGGTTTGCTTATAGCTGTTCAAAGAGGTGGGAAAGTAACTTAAGCCCCTTCCACTGAAGGGGCTGGAGAGATGGCTCAGCAGTTAAGAGTACTGGTTGGTCTTCAGGACGACCCAGGTTTGATTGCTGGCACCCACTTGGTGGCTCAAAACTGTACACAATTGTAGTTCTGGGAGGGGAGCATTTGGTGCCGCCTGTTGGCCTCTGCAGGTACTACACACATGGTGCACATACATGCAGGCAAAATACCAAGACACAACCTTTCTTTAAAAATGGTTTTAAAATAGTTGGACCTTTTAACCCGCTATGTCTGTTGCTTGATGCTGTGACCACAATACCCTACAGAAACAGCTAAAGGACAGGAGAATTTGTTCTAGCTCCGATGGTTTCAGCCCATCGGAGCAGGCAAGGCAGAGCAGTGGGAAAGTGACCAAGTCTGTTAACGTCTCCCTAAAGCAAGAACCAGGAACCTTCCATGTCCCGACCCTCGAGACCTTCTGCCAGGGAGACCCCCAACTTCCAACAGGCCCACAATCTCCCGTGGCAGTGCCAGCAGCTGGGAAACAAGGAGTTAAGACAAGGCATGAACCCTCGAGAGATGCTCTAGGTTCACACAGCACAGAGGCCAACAGCCTGCACCTGGACCTGATGCTCAGCGCTCCACCTCACTTCCCTCCCACCTGTCTCACCTCCCTGCCCGCCCTCCCCCCTTCTCTCCCACCTTTCTCAGTTCCGTAATACTACATTCCCAAGGCAGAGCCAGCCTGGTGAAGACAGACCTCCCCAGAGGCTGACCCTCAGCTTGGTGGAGACTGAAGTAAGTCCATCCTTGTTTCCTGGTTTACACCGTGGCCCTGGGGCTGTGTTGGGGGAAAGTTCTGGGCTCCCTGTGCTTGGCTCCACCTTCCTGAGTCAACAGTGGCCCTGGGGATTTTTGTTCTCTTTGCCTTGGATCCTCACTCCCTTCCTTTGATTTAGTCTTAAACTTAGCAGGGGTGCTTGTTAAAAACTCAGATTTAGCCAAGTATAATGGCGCATACCTGTCACCTCAGCACCGGAACGTCTGAGGCAAGAGGATCATGAGTTCTAGGATAGCCTGGGCTACACAGCAAGCCCCTATGCCAAACAAAACATAAACTGGCCCTGATCTACTGTCCCACTCAGGGTCCATATATATATATATCTATTTATTTTTATGGTCATTGCTGTTTTGCCTGCATGTTTGTCTGTGTGAGGGTGTCAGATCATATGGAACTGGAGTTATACAGTTGTGAGCTGCCACGTGGGTGCTGGTAACTGAACTCGGGTCCTCTGGAAGAGCAGCCAGTGCTCTTAACTGTTGAGCCATCTCTCCAGCCTCAATAGTGACATCTCACCCAGAACACTAAGGGCCCAGGAGCTGCTAGTCGTCAGCGAGCTTGGCCAGGTGTACTAGTTAATTGTTTTTCTTCAGTTTGACACAGGCTAGGGTAACACAGGATGAGGTAACCTTCAGCCAAATGGCTTGTAAACAAGCCTGTGGAGCACTTTTCTGATTAACAATTGATATGAGAGAGCTCTGGATGCTCAGGTGGTCCTGGGTTCTATTAGAAAGCAGGCTGAGCAAGCCATGGGGTGTGAGCCAGTGAGCAGCACCCCTCCATGGCCTCTGCACCAGCTCCTGCCTCCAGGTCCCTGCCCTGCTTGGGTTCCCATCCTGACTCCCCTCAGCGATGGACCATGACCTCTAAGTCAGACAACCCCTTTCACCTCGCGCTTCTTTTGGCTATATTCTTTATCACACCAACAGAAAGCACCTAAGACGCCAGGTTTCCATGTTACACAGAGAAGCTGCCCGGTCCCATAAGGTGGGGCACATTGAGGTGGAGGCCACTGAAGATCCCTGTGGGAGCCAAACATCCCCCAAGGACAGGGTAGCAGGGAAAACAGTCCCCAGAACTACGCTGACATGGTTCCTGTATCCTGGTGTTGCTGGTCCCCCTGCACTCTACTGGCGAGCAGAGGGCTATGATGAGGGACACATCTCGGGGAACGAGGTGCCCTAAGGCTATGATGGGCAGGAGGCCACTGAGTTGCCAGATGACATATCAGCATCTGTCTCATTGTCCCTGGGCTAAGAGGCTTGGAGACCGGAGGCATCACACCCCAGGACTGCCTGAACAGAGGTCGTGCTGGCCCCACTGCCCCACTGCCAGCTGGTAGCAGCGCTCCGACCCTTCCCTACCCCCAGTTTCAGCAACTGCTTTTGGGAGAAAGAACAAGTGTCTGAACAGGGAGTCAGTCTGGGGGAGAGGTTTGTGCCTCCTTAAGCCAGTGCATAAATGGGACCTGGTACCTCTCGCTAACGCACCTAGATGTGCTTAGCCTCTTCTGGCCCGTTTATCTTTTATAACACTGTGATTGGTTTTGTGTGGCTCAGTAATGCCGTAGTTTAAAACAGCAGATCTATCCCCTTAGAGGAGACCAGAAGTCCAAGGGTCCCACTGGGCTGAGGGGTGTTGGCAGGACAGCGGGCTCCTCAATGTCTCAGGAGTGGCTGGGGACGCCATGCTTCTGCTGGTAGGGCCTGTGTTTTAGGGCATGCTTGAGTAGGATCCTGGTAATGGTTATTTGGAGTTTTCCAAGCTGCCATTTCTTCACCAGCAAAACAGGGGTGCTAAGCACTAAGCCACAGCCTCCCCGAGGGCTGCGTGCGCTCACGTGGTGACCATCCCTGGCCCGACCTGTCTCGGGTGATGAAAAGGCGGGAGCCTTTCTGCTGCACTGGCCCCAGCTTGGAGCAGCCTCGCTCAAGCCTGAGGCTGGCACATTCGGACCCAAGACCTCGCCCACCCCCAACACACGCACCACGCATGTGCGAGTCCTCTGAGCCGCTGCTTTGAGAGTAGCTGACAATCGTCTATGGTACATTCTCAAGATGCCACCTCTCACATGTTCATTGTGAGGACAGTAAATGCCAGCCATGTGAATTTCACCAACTGGCCTCCATCTCCAGGCTCAGATTCAGGGGGAACTTGGTACCAGAGGACCGGGTTTCCCCTCCGTGCTGCGTACCGTCGTTTCCCTTCCGCCCCTGCCGGCTGCACAAGCCACACAGCTGCTGTTCAGCCTTTATTGACGGTTTCTTAGTACTACACCTACAGAGTCTTGGCACTGCCCGGACATGGGGTCCTAACACTTAAACAGCGTGACCTAGTGAGGGCCCCGGCACGTAGGGCCACGTAGTAGCTGAGCCAGGCTGGCCAGAAGGGCTGGGCTGCATCGTCTAGAGACAGAGCTCTGCCCGTGCAGTTCTAGATGTGGGGCAGGGGGGCTAGGAGATGGCCCCTCGAAGACAAGGCTTCACGCTGCCCTTCCAGACAGCTGGCCCCCCTGCTGGCCCTTCAGAACACTGAGCCCTAGGGTGTGAACTCCCAGATACGGGGTCAGATATCAAGGTAGAAAAGGGTGGGTGGAGGTGGCCTACCCCTCTTCCCAGTGACCCCACCTGCAGGCAGAACCCTCACTTGGAAAACCCAGTGAAGAAACAAGAGAGCAATCTAAGAATAGACACAGACAAAGACATGGCAGCCAGAGCCAGTAATGTCCCATGCTGTACTGCTGCACGGGGTGACGTGAGCTCATATCTTCTGGTCTCAGTGCTGGCATAGGTAGTTCTCGGCCCTCTCCTCCTGTCTCCACCCCACAGGCCTTAGAGAAATCCTCTTCGAACTCAAGAGTAGATTCGAGCCATGATTAAACACCGAGAAAAAGATCTGATCTAATAGGAAACTGATGGGGCACTTCCCAGGAGCAAAAGCGCTTGCCGAGTCTCTGAAGGGGATGGGGGGGAGCTGCCGGGGCTGCCTGGGCAGGCTGGAGATGTGGGATCACTAGGGAGTTGGGATTGCTGAGTGGTGAGGAGCCACCAAGGGTCTCATTCCAGAAACCTCAGCTGGGTCACAATAAATATAAATAAATGTGCACAGTCAGCGTGGCTCTGAAAACTCTAGGAGGAATGGGCAGGAGCCTGCAGTGAATGCCGGCAGAGGTCGACCATGTCACCCTCAGGCACAACCAAGGCTGACCTGGTCCTTCCCCAGCCTTGGGCTGAGCTCTGAGGCCTGGGAAGGAGTTCCTCTCCTAGGAGAATGCATGTGCTCAGAGCCTTCCCCCTGTGTCTCTGTGACATGCCACTGTGTCCTAAGGTGGGCTGCTGACCGTCCAGGGCCCTGCCAGGAGCCCGAACTACAGAGAGCCAGGTCTCAACATAGCCATGCCCCTGTCTCAGGCCCTGCAGGAGAAGGGGAGGCGGAGTGGTTGCCATTCTCCCACGCTTCTGACTTGGGTACCCCAGAAGCGTCCTGTGGGAGCATTGGGGGGAGCAGGAAGAAGCAAGAGCTGTCACTTCCTGTCAACCCGCAGCTAGAGACGCTGCGGAGCCTCGGGGCCTTTCTTCCAGGCGGGCGGCTCAGAGCAGAGCTATGGACTTGCTCCCTGGAGTCCCCAGGAACTGTGCAGAGGTGGCCGCCGATGGGGCTGCACTGTCTGGCGTGGAGTACGCAGCATAGAGACCCGTCACCTGCACCTCGGGGAAGGGCTGGTCACTGCTGCCAGACACAGGGGCCAGGCTTGGGGCCCCCAGGTCACAGCCCAGTGGGGAGTCCCCGAAGGTCCCCAGGGCGTCCAGGCCGAAGCTGTCCTCCTTCATCTCTTCCCACAGGTTACCTTACAAAGACAAAAGCATTTGGGTGAGCTGGCTGAGGGCCAACCTGCCCCAAGTTCAAATCCCCTTCTGAGGGAAAGACGTAAAGACCACGTGTGGTGTTCAAGGCCTTGTGTTGTCACAGGGCAGAAAAGAAGCAGAGGTCCAGCCCTGGTCTTCCTCCTGCTGCTGTGTGTCCCTGGGAAAACCATGTTAGTCTCAGAGCCACAGCATAAGCCACGGCCATGACAGACCTCTGGGCTGACTCACCTGCCGCCTGGTCCTGTTCCCCAGTGAGGAACAGGACACGAGGGCTGGAACACAGCAGGTGCATGCGTGTTAGGGCCGGATGGGTTGGGAACATTCGCTGAAGCGCACAGCACCCTGCTTGGTTCTTGGATGCGTCACCCTCTCGACTCACTGAGGGGTCCTCTGTGCCTAGACTCAGCACGCATAACTTTGAAGCTATTACTGAAGAAGAGTCTGGGGGTGCAAGCCTTAAATCCTGGGTCTGCCAGTGAGTAGCCAGGGGACCCGGGCTGGCAATTCAACTTCTCTTTACTTCCGTGTCCCCATCAACGGAACGAGGATGAGGTGGTGAGGCCTCCGCACTTCGGCAGGGCGGGACCCCATGGTGCCTAGGCAATGTGTGGCTGGTAGGCAGCAGGTGCTCTTTAAGTGTTTACTAGGTGTGGTGCTTGTCCTATGCTAAGGGCGGCACAGACAGACTGCTGCTGGGCTCCCGTCTCTGCTCCCAGCCCCGTCCCGACCCCCGTCTCCTACGCCTCACCCTGTAGAGCGAAGTCCATTATGCTGGGGTCCAGGGCGTCCACCTCCGTGCTCATGTCAGTGCTGATGTTGAGGAAGTCCCCGGGAGCCCTGCCCATGGCTGGCTGCGGGAGAGGCCCTGGGCTGGGGTTAGGTAGGGCATGAAGAGGTGGGGTCTGCGCTGGCGCCGGCGAGTCTGGGGCCAGGTGTGCCTGGGGCTGGATCTGGTGGTGCAGGGGGACTGACTGCAGGGACAGGGTCATCAGTGGCTTTGGTGGGAGCTGGGGGATGGCCAGGCAGCTGTGGGCCATGGCCACCGAGGTGGCATGAGTCAGCACAGGGGCCTCAGGCTCCCCGGGTTTGCCAGGACGCCGGCAGCTTTCCGGCCGGTCTGAGATGAGCTTGTCCAATTCCTCTGCAGACAAGTAGGAAATGTCACTCAGAAGTTCCTGCTGCCACCGGGCCCTAAGTCCCCGTGCCACCACCCATGTGAACCTAGCAACCGTCTTAGACTCTCTGTCTCCTCTTTGATGGGATGGCGTGATACAATCTGCACTGGGTTGCTATGGAGACGTGATGCCATCCCAAGCCATGAAAATGCCTTCAAGGAATGGGAGTGGCCATGAAATCCTAGCAGCTCCTCCCGTATAGCACAGGCCTGTGCCCCAAGACTTTATTTGAACGCTCATGAGCCCCGTTCCAGAGGGAGCTGTGGCAGGGAGGAAGGTCCCGTCAGACAGCCAGATCATTAATGCCAAGGAGACCTCCCTACTCTGCCCAAACACAACCCTGGGAATCATGCTGTGGGCTAAGTGGACCCCCTTCTGTGAGAACTATTACAAGCAAAGAACAGAAATCATCCTTAAAAAAAAAAAAGTGTGTGCGTGCATGTGTGTGCACCATAGAGCTCACATACGTCAGGTCAGAATACAGTCCCAGGTATCAGGCCCTTGCCTTCCACCTCAAGACAGGGTCTCCTGTCATGAGCTCATGCCCGCCTCCGCCAAAGGACTGTGAGAATTACTGATGTGTGCACCACATCCACCTTTACCTGGATTCTGGGGTTCCGAACTCAGATCCTCACACCGCAGTGCGTGCCTTTCCCACTCAGCCATCTCCCCAGCCCCAGAAATCACTGTTCGGCTCTTTCCTTTATCTCCTGGAATTCGGCACAGTGCTGACCCTGGACCATAAGGGGCCCAAGATCTGGCCAGACCATTTTAGAGACCACAATCTAGAAGGCCAGAGGACCTGCCTTGGAGCTCCCAGCCAGCTTAGCCCACAGCCAGGGAGGCCTGGGATAGGAACCACAATGAGCCCTCTGGCTACTTCCTGCCAAAGGCCCTCTGACCGAGTGGCTCACCACTGCCCCACCCAGCGCCGTCCTTTGAACCTGGACTCACCTCACCTAGTCAGCTGGACCCTCTGACTTGTGTGCCCCAGGGACCCGCCCATCTCTTCCTTCCCGGCACAGCTCGTAGACACGTGCTGCCCTGCCTAACTTACCTAAGATATATTCATTCATTCATTCATTCATTCATTCATTCATTCTCTCTCTCTCTCTCTCTCTTTCTCCCTCTCTCCCTTTCCCTCCTCCTCCTTCATTCCCTCCTTTTCCTTCCCTCCATCCATTGCTCTCTGTCTCTCCCCGACCCCACTTGCACACCGGTGCTTGCCCTGTATCCGGAGCTACAGACAGTTGCAGCTGCCCAACATGGATGCTGAGAAGCAGAGCCCCGTCCCCCGTAAGAGCGGGAATGCTTTAACCACTCAGCCACCTCTCCAGCCCTCTTATTCTTTTCAACACCCACTCAGCGCCACCCCGGAGCTGCGAAGTGAGAAGGCAGGGAGAGCAGATTCAACAGCTCTGCACGTTTCTCACTAAATCCCTACCTTTGCTGGCTTCCGGACAGGGGCAGGGCGCCGTGGGAGGCTAGGGAGATGGTGGGTGCGTGCGTGCTTGCGTGCCTGTGTGCACGCATGCGCAGTGGTCTGGGGCTCACCCGGGTTGGCCATGCTGCGATGTATGGCGGCGAGATCTTTCCTCTTCCACTTGTGCATCTCCTCCTCCATCTTGTCGATGCGTGCCAGGTTCAGGGCCCACAGGCAGCCCTTCCGCGAGGAGCCGCTGGACTTGGTCTCCACCTTCTCGAAGCACTTGTTGAGTGACAGGTTGTGTCTCACTGAGTTCTTCCAGCCGTCAGGCGCGGTCTGTGGGGAGACATGGGTACCCGGCCGACTCCTCAGGCGACCCCGCCCCTGGTGATTCTTTCTCTGCCTGGGCACACTCGAACTCCTGCCGGTCAGGGCAGGACCCAGGGAGTCAACAATACAAGCTGGGGAGATGACAGGGAAAGGTGGGGACTGTGGGGCCCGCAGGAGGCCCCGCCCTGGTGGCTGTGGACCTGTAGCTGGACCACAGTCTCAGGCTTCAGCAATGGCCCTTCTCGTCTCATCTCCCACTGGGTGGGGGTCGGGCAGACTAATGCTAAGGGCTAGGTAGCTGCCCAGCGAAAGTGGTGCAGCTCACGCTGCATTCCTAGGCAACCAGACACTGGGACCCAGCCCTCCCAACCCACACGGTCCAGCATTTCTACCCGGGATACCATCCAGATACCATCTGAGATCCTGCAATCTGGCCTTTGGGGTTTGAAGTAACTAATGGCCCCTGACGAGATCTCCCCAAGTCCTTCTGAGCTCACCAGCAAAGGCTCTTACTGAGGTGTGTCTGGGTTTGTGCTGAATAACTAGGCTGCCCCCGCCCCACTCTTTTCACCCTAAGATGAGCGAGCTCTGTTTCATCCACCAGAGCCCTGTTCAAATGGCCCATTCTCTTTGTAAATGGCATCCGTATGGGTGTGCTTGTGCCCGTGTGACGAAACCGTGGGGGCTAAGAGCGTGGCTCAGTGTGGTGCTGAGGAGGCCCTGGGTCCCGGCCGAGCGGGGAGAGGCAGCGTGGCTCTGGGTCACAACCCTCACCTTGAAGTAGGGGAAGTGCTCCTTCATGAAGCTGTAGATCTCGCTCACGGGCAGGCTGCCAGTCTTGCTGCTCTTCAGGGCCATGGCGATCAGACAGCTGGGGCCAGAGATGGGGCCGCAACCAGGCCTCAGGTGGCAGCCCAAGGCCCGGGCTGCCAGGAGCTCTGTGCCCCTCTATACTCCCAAGCTCAACTCCTCATCAGCACCTCTCCCTAGGGATGCACCCGTGCCCACCCCTTCCCTACTCTTCTCTCAGCTCAGCCACTGCAGTGGGCTGAGAAATCCTGCTTGCCCTTTGACCTCACTCCCATGGGCTTTTAGACTTCATCCAAGATGCCCTCCCTGCCCCCCAAAGCCCGAGATACTGACTCTCATTTCTGTAACTGACTTTCTAATCTGAAGAAACAGGCTCAGAGAGACCGAGGCATACAGCCTATAAGGATGGCGAAGCGGCGTCTGATGTGGGGTACACGCCAGTCCCTCCCATGGCTGGGTCCCCCCCAGGGGTTCCCTTAGGAGTCAGGTCTCCTTTCCTAGCTGTCTAAGAGTCCCCAGAGGCGGCTCCTGTTTCTTCCTTCCGGGTGGGCAGGCCTCACCTGTAGGAGTAGATGGGCTTGGGGTAGTGTTTGGGGTGCAGCTCCTGAGATGAGTGTATGGCCGTGTGGGCCCCTGGGTAGGAAGGCCTTGCTGCAAATGGAGAGCCATAGAGGCCCACAGGAGGACACTTCACGGGAAGGGGCGGGGCCAGGCGGCAGAGAGAGAAGGGTGGTGAGACAGCGCAGAGGTAACCACAAATCCCAACCCAGCCTCTAACTGCAGGGAGATGTCCCCGTGTCCCAGCAAGGCGTGAATTGTGCAAACAGCACTGGGCATAGAGGGGGTCTTATCCTCGGGAGCCTAAGCAGGGAGAGGAGCAGAACAGTTCCCCTGGCTGGTACCTGCTGGGATCCCGGAGGTAGAGGGAACTGGACTTGGGCAGCAGGCGAATACAGCTGTGGCATTTCCGGCAGGCCTGATGAGGACTGACCTCCCGTGGGGAACGGGTTCATCTGCTCAGCCTGGAGAGGGTGAGACAGCCGGTCAGGGAGGGCCAGGCAGCCTCCCCTCTCCCGGCCCTGTAGCGGCACTTACGCTGGCTCTGTGGCTGCCTATGGGGCCCAAGCCCAGCATGCCTCTGGGGACCACAGCATTTTGACCACGGAGCAGGGGACGTGGGGTCTCGCACACATGCAGGTCTTGCACGCCAGCCAAGGCACCTGTACGAGGAGGGTACAGAGAAGGCGTGGCCACGGTGGGGGATGGGGGACCACCATCCACCCCAGGACCAGGCACATAGCAAGTGTTTCCAAATCACTTTTCTGGAATGTGCTGGACAGACGTAGGGATCCTACAACCTGTGTAACCTGGCCAGCCTCAGGGTCTCCATTTCCACTTACCCCTTTGCCCATTTACAAAGTTGCAGTTAGATGAGGTGCTGACCTACCGAGCGCTTAGCACATGACTGGGTGGGTAATACACGCGAGCTACCATGATGGTGATAGGCTGCCTTGGTTCCTGTCCTTTATGAGCTAAAGCACCAATTTATCGTTCATCTTCTCCAAAGCTCCTTGGGACCTCCCTATTTAGATACCAATGCCTTTGTGCCCCTCTTCCTCCGTGAAGCTCTGCTAGTCTCTGCTAAAGATTAGCCCAAGAATAGCAGGTGTACATCTGCTTCCTGTGCTGGGCCTGTGGCAGACATTACTAATCTATCACAGATTCTCATGGCACCATTTCTAATCAAGTAAAAGTGACCTGCAAGATGCTGCTGCTGCTGCTGCTGCTGCTGCTGGCCCTGCCTTTTTTTTTTTTTTAAACATGTATCAAACCCTGACTGCTTTAAGTATGGGCCCTGTAAAAATATTTCTGTTTACTTTCCATGCAGATAAGGAAACTGATTGGAGGGGCAGGCGCATCCCAATGCCGCATAGGTCTTCCAGGGTTCTATGTTAGAAAACTTAACAGCAGGCTAAACCTGGCCCATAGCCTGATTGGTCAGTAAAGTTTTATTGGCACACTGCTGCACCTCTTTGTGGCTGGGTTTTTTACCTCTGTCAACGTCAGTATTAAATAATTTGAACTTTAGACTTTATGGATTAAAAAGCCTAAAACATCTATTTCTAGCAAAGGCACAGCAGAGTGCGCCTGTGATTCCAGCACTTGGGAGGCTGAGGCAGGGGGATCTGGAGTTCAAAGCCAGCCTGCAATATTTAGGGAGACCCTGTCTCAAAAGTAAGCAAATAATTCCTGGTCCTTCGTGGAAGTCATACATCAACCGCTCTGCACATTGCCCAAGAACAGCTTGCTCCCGAGCCATCCTGCTGGACACTGATGTCCGCTACTGTCCTGTTCTTGTGTAGCAGGACAATGGGAAATGACACCATTTCCCATCAGTGCTGTCTTCAGTCCGCTTTCCACTGATTACAGCTTCCCGTCATTGACGGAGCACCTACGAAGTGCCAAGCTTCTCTCAGAATCTTCTAGAGCAGAAGGCAGTACACTTGTTTCCTGAAGGGCCAGACAGCAGAGGCTCCAGGTCTTGCCTGTCATCTTCATTTTCTTACATTCTTCAGAAACCCTAAACCCTGCTCTTGGCCTGTGCAAGGGTGGGCCTCAGCTTGCATTTGGCTCATCATGAGTCTGCTGACAGTGTGAGGTGTTTGAGATGTCCCAGAATGTTGCCTTCCCAGGAGCCCCAACTTCCTGGGGCGGAAAGAGGGGATGCCTCCCATTTCACAGATATGGACAGAGAGGGCAGAGAGACAAAAGGACCTCCCAGCAGGCCGGTGGCGGCATCACAGGTCACCTCCTCCCCTTGAGCCTACCTGGGTGTGGGTGTGATAGGTTGGGGCCTCCCAGGTCTATGCGTCCGCTTGCCATCTGCTGCAGCCGGGGCACATCCACGGCTGTGAGCCATGACAGTGACTGAAGGTCCCCGGGGAGCTCGCCATCGCCCGTGGGAGGCAGGAGCCTGTTTCAGAAACCAAAACCTCAAAGGCCAGAACTCACTGAGCACCGCCGTGTTGCCACAGCAGAAAACTCCACACCTCGGATCACTTCCGGGGTCACCGTTCAGATGTGGGTGTGATGAAAATAGTGTTTATGAGTCCCTTCACGCTGGGCACTAGGGAGACACTAGACACTGTAAACTCTATCTTTGGACTCTGCCCCTCCATTGTATATACCCAAATGCCCCCCAAACCTCCAAATTGAGATTCAAAACACCTCTGGTTCCAAACACTTTGGATAAGGTGTAAGCACACTATGTCCCCCTTTTTACACATGGTAAACTGAGTCTCAGCACTATGAGTCACTTGGTCAAGGCCGTTAGCACAGGAAGTTCGGGTCCAGGTACAGCCTGCAGCCAGGTTTTTTTCTTGTGACCCAGGCAGCCCTGGGAGCCCCACCCGGCCCACCAGTCACCAGCAGGCTATCACATACATGTAACAAGAACACACATAGCCTTGTGCAGAAAGAGAAAGGCTGTGCCTGGCAAGACCCCAAATTTGGAGATGACTCTGGTGTCCCCGGAGTCCCCGAGCCACGTGGCTGACAGCTTTGTGACGGCAGCTGTGTATGCCAGACTGAGGTGCCTACAGCACATCCGGGCACCATCTCACCAGTACCAGGGGCTGTCTGCTCTGTGGCTAAGAGGCCACAGCCTGCATCCCACACCCTAACGTGAGACAGGGTCTCAGAGAGAGCGAGGACTGAGTGGGGTTTGTGCCTCTAGGTCCCTCCCACATCTGCGGGGTCCCTGAGGCCTGTCGGTCCTTCGCCTGGCATCTCCAAGCTCACATTCCCTCTCTCCCCCATCTCTGCTCTCCATCCTTGTGTTTTAGAGCCACAGTTAGTGCTGCCATGACCTCCACTGCTTAGTTGTCACAGGTCTGGGCCCTCAGCCCACGAAGTCCGCATCAGGTGACTATCGGCTGCCTCGGCCATTGGTTGCCTCATAGGAAAACAAGGCCAGGAAACCACTTGAAAACTGGCTGGTCCCTGTCAGTGGCAACAGTTGGCCCGGCTGCTGTCCCCTGGTGGCCCATTGTGTCACAAACGACTGTTGCCCCTGCCGCACGTGGCCCCCATTGTTCTAAGTCTCAATGCTATTGTTTCTTTGTTTTCCTGGCTGCCACCCCTTTGGCCTGCTCATAACTCATCTATCTGAGTGATGGTCCTGGCTCTGGCCTGGCCCATGCCATCTGTCCCCTAGGCCTCCAGAGACTATGGTGTGAAGGGGAGGGCTTGACCCCACTCTCTTGTCCTCCAACCTCCCAGGGATGCCTGTGAGAGCCTCCCTCCTTCCCCATTGCCCCTGCTACTCTGCCTCGGACTAGGGGGATGTAGAGGCGAGTCTCTGCCCTTGGGTTTCACAAGGCTCCAAGATACCAGCATGGACTAGACCTGCCAGGGGCAAATCCTGGTTCCCAAGATATGTATCGTGGCCATTTCTTTAGCTGCCATTAACATCAATATTAGTATCTTGATTAAGGATAGCCTGGCTGGGAGCCAGCAAACACACAGCCCAGCCACAACCACTAACCGCCTCCACCATTAAAGGCAGGCGCTGAGTGAGTTGATGTCCCCATTTTGCATGTGGAGAAGCTGAACTGTCCCTAGGTCCTAAGCCATTTCCCATGGAGTGAAGACCGTCAGAGACAATTCTCAGGAGTGCGCCACGGGGGCGGAGCAGGTAATGGGGTGAGAGGGCGAGGTTGGTGCTGTGCTGGTGGTGCCCCCACTTTCCCTGCATCCCTCAGGCCCTCCTGTGCCTCCCGCAGCTGTCACCGTGCACCCAGCACACTCAAGTGCAGCCTGGACTCTGCATTTCTGCCTTTGCTGTTTCCTGCCTGCCCGGCCCTTCCTTGTCCTCCTACTTCCCCGAGACATCATCGCTGCCTCTGGCTATTTCAAGTAGTATGTCCCTCACAGGTTCCCCGACTGTGCCTTCAAACAGTCCACTGTTACAGGGAGACAGTCACACCAGGGTCCCTGTCTTGACCGGGACAGGACAGGATCATTAGGGCGCTTCATTCCCCCAGGAGGGCTTTCCTCTGCCAGTGGACAGCCATGTCGCCCATGCCCCAGCTTTGTCACACCTCCTACACTGAGTGCTCGCCGCTGCTCCTCTGTAGCTCGATATTTTATCCTCAACCCCTCCCCCAGGTTGAGGGTTCACAAGGACCTGGGCCATGTGTGCCCACATGGCTGGTTGGAACAGGCCGAGCCCTGGTCACTGAGCCCAAGAAAGACATGAGGGTGACAGTCAGGTCTGGCCATCCTAGAGTTGCTCTCTGACCCCCCGAATTCCTTGACTCAAGCACTGGGAGGGCTACAGAGAATAGAAGACTTTACAGATGGGGAAACTGAGGCTACTGTAGCAAAAGCCCCTTTGCATGCCAGCGAGGTGATGAAGCCTTGGTCCTGGTTTCTGCTGCATTTTTGTTCATTCCTGACGCAGGCTCGGATGTCTTCTCGGATGGCTCTCGGCCAGTTTGTAGGAGCAGAAAGTGCCAGGAGGGAATGCCAGGGTCCCCCACAGGTGTGGGATCCACCCCTGGAGACAACCCCGAGCCAGCTGGCACTCGACTGGGCAGGTCCTTGGAACTCTGAGGACGTGAGCTCAGGCAAGTCCCTTCAGGCCTTGAGCCCCGTGCCCTATGAGCTTCAAACAAGACGGTATGCAGTCACCTTTTAGGATAAGCTGAGCCCCTGTTCTCTTTTCTTGAGGTCTGTGACACCTCTGCTCCGCTGCCTCAGGCATGCCAGGAGTCACCTGCTCCTTCCTTCTGCCTACCCCTAGCCAGGATGTCTGTCTCAGTGTGACGGCCCTGCTTGGCCCAGCCAACCCCGATGCAATCCCTTGGAGGAAAGGGGTGCACTAGCTTGAAGCCCTGTCCACTCGCCCTGTCATCACACAGGAACCAGGGACTGATGCGTTGGAGGACAAACAATAATGGGCTGTCCTTACTGTCCAGGCCAGGAGCATGCCAAGGCACCCTCTTCACAGCCGTGTGAGGCCCTCCAAACTTCTTCCTCACCAACTCCTGTGAGGTGGACGTTTCTTTGAAGACCCAGGTGTGTCTTGTGATGTTCTGCTGCCAGCAGTTTGAGGGGCAGCTGAAAACATCCAGGGATAGACTCTGAGGAGAGGAGATACCGTGGCCTGCAGACAGTGAGACGCGGCCTTTCTGGATCGACATCGCTTGGCTGGTTTTTGTTCTTTGATACTTGACTTCGAAAAGAGAAATATTCCAGAGAACTTCTCAGGGCACTCCAACTGAGTTTTGCAGCCTTTGCTGACTCATTCCAATTCAGTGAAGTCTTACTGTTTCTGTTGAATCATGCTGATTTGTGCTTTTTGTTTCAGCCATTAGACACCTTGAGCTGTTTAAGTTTGAATCTCCTTGAAATGTTTGAAACAAATTACTTAACTCATAAATCCTTAATACAGTTGTAGGCCTCAGCCAGCTAATCCTCTCATTAATTTTTGAAAATCGTTAGGAATTTGCAATTGGTTCCTATAGATCTATACCTTTTGTGGTCAATTTTTTTGTTGACTGATTTTATAATCCAAACAGTTAGGTGAATCTCCTCTTTGTATTTTTTTCTTGGAGCAATCTGTAACCCCCAGATTTGTGTTTCCTTTGTGTTTCCTTAAACATTTTCTCTAAAGTACCTGCGTCAGAATCAACCAACAAAATATCATCCATGTAATGATATATGATAGATTGGGGAAATCGCCCATGAATTACTTCTAACAGTTTTCACACAAAATACTGACATAAAGTTGGACTGTTTAACATTCCCCGTGGAATTGCCTTTCAATTGTATCTTTTTATTGGACCACTATTGTTCAGAGTAGATACTGAGAAAGCAAACCTTTCCCTATTCTGATCATACAAGGGTGTTGTGAAAAAAGCAATCTTTCAAGTCAATTATCATTATACCCTTGTGTCTCCCATCCAGAAGCACACATCTGTGCTCAACCTTGCCTCTCCCAGCAATTCATAGGGTGTAAAGTCCAGGTCCAGGACATCGCTGAAGAAAAGACTCCTGACTTCAGGTATTTTCTTGCTTCCTGCCACCACCCCTTAGAAGAACACATAATTCCCAACCTTAGTTTTTCAAACTGTAAAATGGGTGTGAATGAGAATAACGAAGACACCTCAGACCCCTAGAGACAGTTTGTAAGGGTAGCAGAGAGGTGGTTTGAGATCTCTCCTGCTATCATGAGAGGACATATGCAACAGAATGAAAGAGAGACAGAGCAAGTACCTACGGTAGCATTCAGAGTAATTTTTACCAGATAAAGATGGATACGTGCAAATGAAGGAAAAGGCAATGAAAGTCTGGCCTGGTCCTGAGGCTTCACAATCCTGTGCTGCTCACTGTCTGTCCTTCTGTTTCTCAGTGAGGAGAAACACTGGGCTCACAGGTCCCTGATGCCCACATGCCTGCCAGCTCTGGGGTGAGGCAGAGAGAGAGAGAGAAAAAAAAAAAACAAAACAGCCAAGACCAGCTCTTCCCATCTGTGCCCCCTCTCCCAGCTGAGTCTCTGTCACATGACTGACAGGGTCTATGATGAAATTCTGGCAACACCCTTCCTGTTGGGTGACATCATGTGCTTCTGAACCATTCTAAGACTCAGTTTCCACATCTGCATAAGGGGTTTAGCACCCTTGGAGGCAAAGTGACAACTATAGGGCTGACTTTTCAGAGATCAGAGAAATGAGCACCTCCTAGGGAGAGTCCGGGGGTCCCTGGGTGGGATGGATGTCACTGTCATGGCCGCCAATAACCTCAGCTGTGTTTTCTTTCTGGTCACTCACAGTGTATGCCTTTCCTTTCCTTCCCCGTGTGACCTGGCCTCTCCCTGGCAGGTGCCTCCATTCTCTCCAGCCTTTCTGGCACCACCCAGATTTCTGGAGACCCTGAGTGTCTAGAGGAGTGACAAGGACAAGACAGGAG